CTCTCTCTCTCTCTCTCTCTCTCTCTCTCCCTCCTTCCCTCCCTCTCCCTCTCCCTCTCCCTCTCCCTCTCCCTCTCCCTCCCTCTCTCCCCCTGCCTCTCTCTCTGTCTCAGATGATAAAATCTGGCTAAAGGAAATTTGTCAGGGCTCAGGATGTCAAATACCTTAGTATTAATGAAGAACAAACAATGTTGGATGAGTTTAGATATGGTCCAAATTTAATTGCCTAGTTGTATAAAATAGTGAATATAAATTTTATCTGAATTAAGTTTTATATTGTCAATACCTTGTTTTGATTTTGATTTGATTAACTGCTGTTGTTTTGTTTCCCCCCCGGAAGTAACATTAAATTAATACCAGAACAGACCTGTGTCTTCCTCTGAAATATAGATTATCTATATTCTAAGTGTACTTATTTGATATTTGTTAAAGCAATGGGAAGAATGAGTAAGTGAAAGTTAAATATACTGACCACTTTTTCATTATTATCCTCTCTCTGTGTATGTGTGTGTATGTGTGTATGCGTGTGTGTCTGTCTATTTCTGTCTCTCTGTCTCTGTCTCTCTGTCTCTGTTCATCTCTCTCAAACACTCTCTTTCATTCTCTTTCAAGTAGCTCCATTCATTTCTTCAAGGCATTTCTTTTAACAATTCAGCTGGAGAGAGAGTGTTCCTGAATGGCAAAGGGGAAGCAACAGCTGGATTCGACATCATCAACTTGATCACTTTTCCAAACAGATCCTTTCAGAGAATTAGAGTTGGAAAGATGGATCCTCATTTTCCCAATACAAAGGAACTAATCATTAATGAAGAGGTGATTGTTTGGCACCCAGCTTTTAATCAGGTGTGGACTCATTGAATCAACTCTTCCTTGATCCATTATGATCCCATATTGAACATAGTCTCTTAGAAATCTAATTTGTCATTTTTGAAATGGCATTTTCTGTACAAATATTGTGTATGATCAAGCTTTCATCAAATTGACAAAATGACATTACGATTTAAAAGACAGGTATTCATATTTGGGTTGCCTATCCATTTCAAATCACAGGAGTCACAGCATTCCCATAATATTGTAATAACATATATATTTTTTATTCACCCTCCCATTCTTCAAACACACTCTTTGCACATAATGTCAAAATTTTAATGGATAGTATAAATTTGTGATGGCTGAGTGGTTAATGACTATGACTGACAGGTTTGAGAACTGAGTGCTATGCAATATGGTGAGCCATTACTGCCTCAGCTCCTTCCCACCTAGGAATTGAAAAGCATACAAATGTGAATAGACTCACAGGTACCACGGTGGGAAAATAACAATCTTCCTTGTGCCTTTGGCATATAGCCATGCTGGCCACGTGATCATGGAAAACATCTTTGGACAATGAGAATTCAAATATTTTTCCTTCCACCATAAAGGATAATAATTCAAACTGCTTAAAATTTTCTTTTACGTTTATCACCAGGTCCTTCCATTTTCTCAGTGTAATGACCATTGCTCCCCTGGATACTGGAAGAAAGGGTTGGAAGGAAAACAGTTCTGTTGTTACAACTGTGTTCCATGTCCAGAAGGGAAGATTTCAAATCAAAAGGGTAGGTTAGACATTTCAGTTGTCCTTCGATATACCTAAGCAAATTGTAATACACTACTTTAGTGTAGCAAATAGTTATATGAGTTCTTCTAGGTGCATATTCATTTCTATACCTGTGAATCTCAACCTGTCATTCTGAATTCAAAATTTGCCCATAAGTGCTGAGCTCTTATATCCACCTTTACAAGTTTCTTCTCCGTGTTTTGGAAAAATGGGAAAAATCAAAATAGTCTAAATTTTAATATTTTTGAAAGTGCCAGACAGGACTGCATTTCATAGACTAATTTCCAGTCCCATTGTGCTTCTTTTATGGTGGTCCTAGCTGATTCAATGATGGAAAAACTGCATTTCCATAAAAACATGATCCAACTGATAGCCAGTAAAAAAAAAAAAACTTGAGAGGGATAATGGTGGGCACCCATAAGGAATATTATTTTCAAAAATATAGAATATATAAAAACATGCCTTTACTTTTCTTTCAGATATGGATGACTGTTTTCAATGTTCAGAAGATCATTATCCAAATAAAGAAAAGAAAGGATGCATCTCAAAACTGCTGGTTTTTCTAAGTTTTGAGGAAACCTTGGGAATTAGTTTAGCCACTGCAGCTGTTTCTTTCTTCTTCTTGACATCTTGTGTACTTGGAACTTTTATTAAGCACAGGGATACTCCCATTGTGAGAGCCAACAACCGGTCCCTCACCTACACCCTTCTTGTCTCTCTTCAGCTCTGCTTTTTCTCACCTTTGGTCTTCCTCAGCCAACCTGGCAAAGTGATCTGCCTTCTCCGACAACCTACTTTTGGCATCACATTCTCAGTGGCAATTTCAAGTGTCCTGGCCAAAACCATCACTGTGGTTGTGGCTTTCATGGCCACTAAACCAGGATCTCAGATGAGGAAGTGGGTGGGGAAAAGATTGGCCTTTTCTATTGTCCTCTCATGCTGTCTTCTACAAGTATGTATTTGCATTCTTTGGTTGTTGATATTTCCCCCATTCCCTGAGCTGGACATGCACTCAGTGCTCCAAGAAATGATTTTACAATGCAATGAAGGCTCAGCTTTCTTCTTCTATTGTGTCTTGGGCTATATGGGAATCTTGGCCATCGCCAGCTTTATTATGGCTTTCCTTGCCCGTAAATTACCTGACAGCTTTAATGAAGCCAAGTTCATTACCTTCAGCATGTTGGCCTTTTGCAGTGTGTGGATCTCCTTCTTTCCAGCCTATCTGAGCACAAAAGGAAAAGCCATGATAGCTGTGGAGGTCTTCTCCATCTTGGCTTCCAGTGCTGCATTACTGGGATGCATATTTTTGCCAAAATGCTACATCATTGTTTTGCGACCTGACCTCAACCGCCGGGAACAACTTATAAAAAGAATGTAGTAAGCTATACTATAAAGCAACAAACCTGATGTGGGTTAAGGAATGGATAACATTAAGAAATACTAGATTGTTGACACTAGAAGGACATGATCTGTTGTTGGGGTGGCATGCTTTTTTGTGGTATAAAGGAACTAAAACACAGGGGTACTTTAGAAGACATTATATATGGGAGTCTCTGTGGTTAAACTGGGAGAAGACTAAAAAGCAATGCTGTTTAAAAATTCCAGTCTGGTTATCGACTATTGAAGCATTTTCTTACCCTATAACATATAAAAAGAAACAAACAGTTAGATATGGTGAAATATTGAATGAAAAGGGGGAACTTAAATCTATGCAAGAACTAGAAGAACAAGGTATAAAGATGAACTGGTTTTCATATGTGCAAATGCGCTCTAGATATGATAAAGATTTTAAAACAGAAGGTTTTTATGATAAATTGACTGACTTCAATAACATTTTGACAGGTACTGAATGAAAAGGTGATTAAAAAAACTGTATGGACATTTATTAGAAATTAAGCTAGAAGAACAAGTTAAAGAAACAATGATTGTTTGGGGGAAAATTTTTGGATATGGGATTGACTTAGAGAAATTGAAAAAATTGTGGTCTCAAAATTATAAAATGACAATGTCAATAGCATATAAAGAAAACTTGTATAAGATGTTTTATAGGTGGCACTTACCCTCAACAAGAATAGCAAGAATGTTCAAGAACAAATCTGAAAAATGTTGGAAATGTCATCAGATACTAGGCTCATATTACCATACGAGGTGGACTTGCATAGAAGCTAAATGACATTGGACTAAAATTCACACATGGTTGGAGAAAATGACAAAAAAAACACATAGACTTGAAACCAGTGATATTTTTACTGGGAATTTTATCTCAAATATACAGTAGGGAATTGAAATATTTGATTGTAAATGTATTAACAGCAGCTAGGATTGTATTTGCTAAAAATTGGAAAAATGAGAAATTACCAATGCTGGAGGAAGTTATTAAGAAAATAATGGAATGTGCTGAAATGAGTAAACTGACATTTGAAATTAGAGAACAAGAAGGTAAACAATTTTATAAGGTTTGAGGTCTATTTTATCAATGGTTAGAAAATAAAATAAGGTAATGAAATATGTAGAATTTTACAATATATGGAGAATAGAATTATATAGAATATAATATAAAGATGTATTATTACTAGATGGATTTAGGATAATAATATGAATTGTTATAATATAAATCAATTGAAAAATATGGAGTATCTCGCATAACATGAAGGAATAATAGCACAGTCAAATGAATGATTAATAATGATAATAATGTATTTAGAAATATTTGATTGATAATATGAGAATATACACAAGTAATTGTAAGTGAGGACTATGGAGAGGAAGCACAAAAAAAATTTATAACCAACTGACACACTGTATGTACGTAATTGAAAGATGCCTTTATGTTTTTATGTTTTGTTTGTGTATGTTTGTCTAAAAATAAATTTTTATTAAAAAATAAAAAGAATGTAGTACATTGTGTATTCTTTCTAGCTATTGAAAATATTTGACAAAAAGATTAGACAGCCTGCTATTGCTATATTTCATATTATTATGTAATGTTATCATTGTTATTATAGCCACTATTATTTCTATCAAACAAGATTTTATATTGGATTGGGATTATTATTAAAATTCATTGTTGTCTATTCCAAATGATGTGCTCATTTTGCAACATTTTTATACATTCTCCAAGGTCATTTAACTTAAACCTTTTTTCCATTGAATATATTAAGTTAACAAGATTTTGAACATCTATCTCTTTATATTCTTAGGAGATTTGAGATATTTACTTTAAGGATGCCTAAATGATATTAATTAAATATACATAATAATACTCTTTCAACTTCTTATATTTACATATACATTGTAATTATAATGTATTTTATTTTTTGACAGTATATAAAATAGTGTTTTTCCAATTTCTATTTCTATTGTCCACATCTCTCCCATTCCCTGAATTGGACACCCACTCAGAGCTTCAAGAAATGAGTTTACAGTGCAATGAGGGGTAAGCTTCCTTCTTCTACTGCGTCTTGGGCTACATGGATATCTTGGCCAGCACCAGCTTTATTGTGGCTTTCCTTCCCCTTAAATTACCTGACAGCTTTAATGAAGCCAAGTTCATCACCTTCAGCATGTTGGCCTTTTGCAGTGTTTGGATCTCCTTCTTTCCAGCCATCTGAGCACAAAAGGGAAAGCCATGGTAGCTGTAGAGGTCTTCTCCATCTTGTCATCCAGTGGTGCATTACTGGGATGCATAGTCCTGCCAAAATGCTACATCATTGTTTTTAGGCCTGACGTCAACCACAGGGAGCAACTCATAAAGAGGAATTAGCAAATCATTTTATATTTGTGGCTTTGTGAAATTGCTCACAAAAAAAGAGAAATATTGTTTGCTATCCATAGGAGACATATAGAAATCATTAATTAAATCATTAATGATGGAGCATCCACAACTTCTGGAGGCAAGTCATCCCACTGATTAATTGTTCTCACTTGCAGGAAATTTCTCCTTAGTTCTAGGTTGCTTCTCTCCTTGATTGGTTCCCATCCATTGCTTCTTGTTCTGCCTTCAAGTGCTTTGGAGAATAGATTGACCCATTTCTTCTTTGGGGCAGCCCCTTATATATTGGAAAAGTGCTGTAATATCTATTATTCACTATCGTATCATATGATTACTATTGTATCACATCATAGTAGACTATATCATAGTATATTATATCATATAATATCATAGGAGGAAGAAGGTGTATTAGATATCTTCTGTGCCTTGAGTTATTTCAAAAAATAATACAAATCAGAATACAAATAAAATAAGTAAATAAATAACTAATATTTGGATGGGTAGATTATTAAACTCAAGGCAATGTCTAATGAAAATTTTGAAATATCAGTACCATCATTGTTATTGTTTCATTCTTCAAAATTATTTCACTGAAAATGTGGATAAAACCTCCAAAGAAATTATTGGCTTCTTTGTCAGACCTTAATGTATAAAAATGTTTCCTCTTCTCTACTAAATAATTCTATTCATTTTATATGGAAAATGGGAACCCTGCTCCATTGTAAGGAATGAACATTAACTTCAACACTTGAGGCTATTTTCAATTGCCAATGTCTCTTAGATTATTTTTATTAGCATTTGCTCATTTCAAAAAAATTTGAACCTCCATATTTTCTATATATTTTCTCTCTTCATTCACTCTCTTAATTCTATTTTATTTATTTCATCTCAATTTAGATAATTATATTTGCATCTTTTGTCCGTTCTCTTTCAATTATCTATTTATCTTTTCTTTCTAATACAATATTTCTCCTGTAATCACTGGTTGAAGTATGACAACTTTTTATCTTTCCCCTAAATTTAACACTTAAAATAATACATACTTTCCATACTGATTCTGCTTAGTACATTCTAAATATTACATTTTAGAATAATAGAACAAAAAAAAGGAAAATTAAGTTTATAAATTAGTAAAAACAATATTCCATAAAAAGTTAAACTCTATTGTTAAATCTTAAACATTTTAATACATTCCCTTTAATGCATTATTAACTCATATAATATTTCAGTTTTCCAACTCGATTTAAAATACTAATATCTACAATACAATCTTATGTACTTTTGCAGAATCATTTTTTGAATTATAATTTACCCTTTGTCTCTGAAAAAAACCTTCTTTTTAACATCTTGTTTTAAACCTTTATGACTTCTCTTTCCTTTTTCCCTTCCTTTCATATCAATTCTAGCCTTTTTGCCCCCCCCCCATCTCTCAGACTCCACTCTCTTAGTCTTCCCTCTCTGTTGTATTTCTCTTTTCTGTTGCTTTTTGACATTGTATTGATTTTTCATCTTATTTTTCCCTTTCTTGGTTGCTTTTTTAAGTCCTGAATTCTCCATTTTCTTTCCCCCCTTTCTCTTTTTTTCCACAAGTAAAATTGTCTGTCCATTAAAGATGGCTTCTTCTCCTTCATCCCAGCCTTCTTGTTGTTGTATTTCTTGGTAGATAGAAATCGCCATTTCTAAAAAGTGAAAGATAGATCCAGAAGAGCCCTTGCCTTCTTGTTCCTCTTCTTTTAGCTTTTGAAATTCAATTTGCAATTCTTCAACAGATAATGCCATTTTTTTTCTTAAGAACAACCCAAATGTTTTTAATCTTTCAAGAAATAGTTCCCAAAAATCCCAAAGTCACAAAGCAATCCAAATCAGAACAAATTGTCTCATTTAGCACTTTCTTCTTTTTATATTTTCTCTTCCTGGGGTAGAGTTCAATTACACAGTTCCAAAGTAATTTTTTAGAAGCCTTATTGCCATTTATTTCTAATCTTATAAACTTCAAGCAGTCTCCTTCAGTACAATCTTAAAATAAGTTCTTTACCTCTTCCCTCCCACTTATAGCAAAAAAGGTTTTAGTTTTTAATTCCAATGTTCAGAAATCTTTTATCCCCTTGGCTTTAAATTTCAAATGTAATTATCTTCTATGCCCAAGCAGGTTTTTCCGATTTCCATCAGCTATTTCCATGGGGAGGGAGAGTGAGAGAAAATAACTTTCCCTTTCAATTTTCTTCCGCCGCTTTCCAGTCTTCTTAGGAAACAATGTATCATTCAAGCAATTAAAATTCCAGGGTGTTTAACAGATAAGATAAATATACATATTAAACTGTGCTTGTATGGAAATGTGATAATTTGGAATTATCCTGTCTTTAAATAAGATATTCTATTTGTTTTTTAGAAAAGATGTTCTATGTTATTATATTCTACATTTTGTTTGTTTGTGTATTGTTTTTAAAAATTAATAAAATTTGTTTATAAAAAAAAATTGAACCTCCAATTGAACCACTTATTCTCTCAAAACAAAATAATCATATCCTACAGGAATCACCATATTTTTTTAACTAGGTCAAAACATCAAGGACTGTACATAATGGTATTTAAATCCAGGAACAATT